TATATATATATATATATATATATATATATATATTTACAAAAGTTACAAAGATGAATTTATCCATGACTACAAACTTCTTCCAAACTCCTCCTGCTCTACATATGAACAATACGGTTGCGATTACTCTGAAAAATTTCACAATAGCTTGATGAGTATGGCTACTCAGTAATTGACCATCATTATCCTTACAAATCATAGCTAGAAAGTGTAAATATTTTATAAAAGAATGCATAATACGAGGAAGCGCATACATGGAGAACATATTCAAATTCATAAAAAACAATTTAACATAATTCGAAGATTTGAATGCATACTAAACTAGTATGAGAAAGTGCATATATAATTTCTTTAACAGAACTGCCCAGTTTAATATAATACAAATGATTTCACAAGATGCCCTACTTGCATCCCAAGTAGGTCATTGATATACCCAACCAGCGTCCTGGATGGGTCTACTCATATCTCACCGGCGTACCAGATGTGTCCACTTAGACACACGATTCATATCAAGGTCAACAATATTCTAACATTACTGTAATTAAATATCAGATAGAATCAAACACGCATTCACAACAATAGAAGTCCTGCAGTAGAAGCACTAACCTTACAAACATTCACAACAACAAAAGTCCTGCAGTAGAAGGACTAACCTTACAAACATTCACAACAGCAGAAGTCTTGCAGTAGAAGCACTAACCATACAAACATTCACACAACAAAAATCCTGTAATAGAAGCCCTAACCTTACAAACATTCACACAACAGAAATCCTGCAGTAGAAGCACTAAGCTTGGGTCCAAGGTTAGATCTTCTACCACCCCGCAGGGGGAAGCACCACCAATGGGTAAATCCATTGTGGTACCTCACACACGCACAATGTCCCAGCGTGCTTTGGAACTTTTGATAGGTTTGCAAGCCACGACCCTCTCATGTGCCCATCTGGCGAGAGAGCGTTATACTACCAAAGAGGTTCCAATGAGTAGTGCCTCACACAGATTTTTGGGGGTACGACCTCCCAAACACAATCCACTCCTAACTCTAATCCTATCATAGAGAGTCATGATAAATCACAGTTGTTGGCACACATATCTCATCAGATCTTAACAGAGGCATGTTGCCATGCACACATATCTTATCAGAAGCATGTTGCCATGCACACATATCTTATCAGAAGCATGTTGCCATGCACACATATCTTATCAGAAGCATGTTGCCATGCACAATCTTATTAGAAGCATGTTGCCATGCACAATCTTATTAGAAGCATGTTGCCATGCACACATATCTTATCAGAAGCATGTTGCCATGCACACATCTTATCAAAAGCATGTTGCCATGCACACATATCTTATCAGAAGCATGTTATCATGCACATATTTCTCATCAGAAGTATGTTACCATGCACACATATCTGATCAAAAGCATGTTATCATGCACACATCTCTCATCAGAAGTATGTTACCATGCACACATATCTTATCATAAGTATGATGCCATGCACACATATCTCATCAGTAGCATGTTACCATGCACACATATCTCATCAGAAGTATATTACCATGCACACATCTCTTATCAGAAGCATGTTGCCATGTACACATATCTTATCAGAAGCATGATATCATGCACACATATCTTATCAGAAGCATATTGCCCTGCACACATACTTTATTATCATGCACATAAATTTTAAAATACATTATTATGTCAATTGCAGGCCATATATCAATGTAGTCGATATTAGGAAACAATAATATCGTATTTTCAAAATATTCTTGAAATTATTAACATAAATTCACATGAAGCAATTTATAACAATCACTTGCACATAACACTTGCACACAACACCTGCACATAACATGTGCACATAACACTTGCACATAACATCTGCACATAACACTTGCACATAATACTTGCACATTATACGTGCACATGACATTTATAGTATCTAAGATTTATGCTGCAAATATTACAATTAAATACAGAAATACGTAAAACTTACGGTTTCATAGTATTACAATTAAATGCAGAAATATCTTTGGGAATATTATAGAAATATAAGTTTTCTTCAAATAATGATTTTACAGGAAAAATGAAACCACTTACACATAAAACTTACAATGACTAAAATTTATAACAATAAACGGAAATATTACAATTTTATTGAAAGAGGAAATACCATAATTTACAGTATCTAAAATTCATAACAGTAAACGGAATATCACAATTTTATTGAAAGAGGAAATACATAATTTATAGTATCTAAAATTCATAACAATAAACGGAATATCACAATTTTATTAAAAGCAAAAATACCAATTTTTAAATAGCTGTTTTACAGGAAAACAAGATCACTTACCTTCATGATGCTGATATACCTATGGGATGATCATCCGTGAACTGATACATATCACTAAAAAGAGGAGAAACCATGGGATTGGTTGGGCCATCGATTACGGGCCTCTGTATTAATCTCCATCGCTACCTAAAAGGTTTCTATCAAACTTCTGAGCGCTCATCATGTCATGTGCTACAAGGCTCACAATCTACTTTATTAGGCATAAGAGAGAGAGAGAGAGAATTCAATAGTCCATTTGTTGCTGAAAATGCATGATCCCATCATCTTTCAAAGCTTTTGCATTTTCAGCCCCAATTCACAAGATCCATTAGTTAAAATTGAAGAAGTTTGAACTGGTTTTATTTACTAACAAGAGAGGTTTTAGAGAGAAAGAGAGGGGTTTTTGAGAGAGAAATGATTTGCTTTCTTCATATAAAGGATAAGAGGGAGAGACTAATTTAACACCTCAAAATAAGGTGTCTAGATAATGAGAATGAGGGTTACAAGGTTGCCACATAGGTGGTTGTACCAGCCACCTCTTAAGGTAAAAAAAAACCTTTTGCAAAAGTTGGTGGACCAAAGGTCTGCACTAACAAAATGGACCAACACAATTTTAAGTGCTTTTGGAACACTTTATTTTAACAAAAAGGTAACAAATCCCCACCTATTTTGAAAATAACAAGACCTCTTTCCAATAATATCGGGAAAGATGAAAAGAATGGTATCTATGGTGTATTAATAATACAATGGACCATCACTCAAAATCATTTCTTTATGTAAGTATCTTTTTTTTTTTATATTATTATCATTGCTATTATTATTATTATTATTATTTTTCAGTTTTAGAAAATTTTGGGTCGTTGGTTGCTAATTTATTTGGGATAAGACATAGTTGATGCAACTAGTGTTCTATTTGGAGACCAACTTTTATTAGTTCTTTTTATAACGATAAGTTCTTACTCAGAAAAGCTAATGATAAGTTTGATATGAGTTTAAGATTTAGTTTTATTCCATTTTAGGGAGATCGATATAAATATTTTTAAAGGTAAAAAAAAAGAAATCTTTTTGAAGAGCTTGCTCAGCCAAAATATGCTAATATCGTCCACGTACTTCTAAACCTCTTTTGATATACCAATTGTCATGGGAGAGATTTGAAATATTCTGGTTGACCAAGCTGTTCAACAAGATCTTGAGAACAAAGAAATTACCAGGTGAATGGAGAAAAAGTACAGTGGTACCCATTTACAAGAACGAAGGAGACATACAGAGTTGTACACACTATCGAGGGATTGAATTTATGAGCCACACTATGATATTATGGGAGAGAATGTTTGAGCAACGACTAAGACATAAAACAAGAATTAGTTTGGCTTTCCTACTTAGATAATTGGTTGAGAAGTTTAGAAAGAAGAGAAAAGACCTTCACATGGTCTTTATTGATTTAGAGAAAGCATATATTAGGGTACCGTAAGAGTTAATCTTGTGGATGTTGGAAAAGAAAAGAGTCTCTGTAGGATATTACCATGGTGAGGGATATTTAAAACGGAGTGATAACTAATGTGAGGACATCTAGTGGAGAGACAAGTGAGTTTCGATAGGCCTATATCATCGGTCAATGTTGAGCCCAAAGCTCTTTTCTTTGGTTATGGATTAGTTAACTAGACATTTACAAGATGAGTTCCTGTGGTGTAAGTTGTTTGCGATTAACATAGCTTTGATTGATGAGGCCAGAGATAGCCTGAATGCAAAGTTAGAACTTTGGAGGAATGCTTTAGAATATGAATATTTTAAAATTGGCCGAACTAGGACATAATACGTGGAATGCAAATTTAATAATACTAGGAGTAGAAACGAGGAACTAGTTAAGATTGATGACCAAGAAGTAACTAAAAGACATTATTTTTAATGTCTTGGGTCAATAAACTTCATGAGAAAGGAGAGACTAAGGTAGATGTCACACATTGAATTAGACCTGGTTGGACGACATGGAGATGTGCTTTTGGAGTCTTATGTGATTGTTGCATACTAATGAAACTGAGGGGGAAGTTCTATAGGATGGCTGTAAGACCTGTCATGGTTTATAGGACGGATCATTGGATGGTTAAAAAACAATATATCCATGAAGGAGTTTAGTCGAGTTGAGGATATTGAAATGGATAAAGGGAGGATAGAATTTAGAATAAATACATCCGAGGCGAATCTTATGGGTAGCTCCAATAGGCAATAAGATGAAGGAAAGTAGACTTAGGTGGTCTAGTCATGTGGGTCGACCTAGAGTAGCACCAGTTATGAGGGGTGATTTGGTTCAAGTGGAAGGATCTAAAGGGGTAAGTAGAAGGCCCAAAAGGGCATGGATGAAAGTAGTAGAACAAGATACGGTAACTTATGGTCTTACTAAAGGTATGATGCTCTATAGAGCGGAATGACGGAACAGGATTTGGAACAAGATTTGTATAGCCGACCCAAGTGGTTGGGATAAGGCTCAGATGCTGGAAAAAATAAGTGTTTAGAGGCATGAAAATATTGGTTATTAAAGTTTTTGTTTTTTTTTTTCGAAATTGACTTTTGTGTCTCTGTCGACAAATTGAATCTTTTTCAAAATTTGATGGATGTTTGGGTGGGATTTTGTAGATGAGGATGGTAGGGATTAAATCTATTTGGGTCCATTGTGGATATGTGATTTTACATTTGCAAAGGCTCGTGCTTTTAAGTCCACGGATCTGCCCCTTCCATTCGGAGAGGGATTGTTTAAATGACATAACATGGGTCTGTAAAAAGTCTTCTATTTCACAAAGGGTTACTATGACATTTGGTGAGATCTTCGACATCTGTGACACAAAGAATGTGGACTTGGTGCATATTCTTTGGAGAGCTCTCCTGGAGGCTGATACCCTCGCTGATCAAAGCATTCCTTGAGAGTCGCTCTATTTTGGCAGAATTTCAGTGTTGGAGTACTGATGTTGTCTTGACATCTCTTGATCTTTATTTTATATTTTTTAATTTCGTTGTAATTTTATTTTAGTAATAGAACTTTCGTTGATGACTATTTTTTTTCAAGCCACAACAAATTTTGTGATATTGCATAAAAAGTTTTCATTTGATATAATTTATTGGATTGTGTAAAACTCTTCCCATTTTTAATTATTATTTGAAGAGACTTGAGCATTTTTATTGTAAAATGCCCCTTTCGCTGCTTATTTTCCTTTGTATATGGGTAGCCTTCTACCTTAATTCACTACTTAGTTGACCACCAAGTTTGCTCTTTATGTAGGGTCAAAAGATGAGCATGGTCGCATGTGGGTGGCGGCATACAATTGTTGTTTCATCCATTGGGAAACTGTACACTTATGGCTGGAGTAAATATGGTCAGCTTGGGCATGGGGATTATGAGGATCATCTCATTCCACATCAATTAAGAGCTTTAAGCAATGATTATATCACTCAGGTTTGTGATGGATGTGATTATTTTGATGAGATGTTTCTCCCAATATATTTGGCAGACTTGTTATCTTTAGATGCAATATGAGTTTCCAGGGAGGCCTTACCTACCCTAGTCTGTGGTGGAATGTTGCGTTCAGTGCTTCTTCTGCACGTAAAGTATGTGTTTCAGTTCATTTGAAATTTCAAATATTTGAGTTATACTTATTTCTCTATGGTGATAAATATGTTTCGGTATCATAGCATACGAGTTGCAATTTTGTTGTTTGATCTTTAATTTGATGGATGGTTTCTGGGAGGGTAACCACCTCCTCCAGGCAAGTTCTAGGTTCTATTAAGAGTGTTAATGTTTCAGCCAATGCCTGTCCTAGTGTATATACTACTTGTTTTGTTAAAGGGGTCTTTCGGTTTTACAAGGGCACATTCAAGCCCAATGCCTTGACAGCAGATTTCGAAGAAAAAAACTGTCTTTGAAGTCATGACCTATAGTCTAAAACAATGTGCTTTCAGCCTTTGTCTCCTCAGGAAGATTTCAATGGGACATAATTGTCTCTGTTTCTTTTTGAAATATTTTTCTGGGTTCTGATGAAAATTTCCATATATTCTCGAATTTGGAGTCATATCATATTGCAATGTGTTAAATTTGGCTCCTTCAGATGGGCAAGAACAGGGGTTTTAGCATATTTTATTTATGATTTTCTGGACCTGTCTTCATACAGCATATGCAAAGGTTTCACATATTTCACTGTCCCTTGGAATTTGATGGCAAGTTTTTATTTCATACTACATGTCGCCTTGTATTCAATTTTTTAAGTTATATCTTATTCCTTTAGGTCCTCAAGGAACGTTGTTGCTTTTTAATATTATTTGTACTTATTTTGGCTTATGGTTTCAGATTTCAGGTGGTTGGCGTCATACTATGGCCCTTACATCTGATGGAATGTTATATGGATGGGGGTGGAATAAGGTACATATGTTCCCTTTCCATAATGTCTTCGAGGTTCTTGTTGGGACGTTCACATGTAAAAGGATTGTCGTCGGTTTTTGAGACATATATGTAAATCTCATTAAAGAAGTAACCCTTGGTGTATAATGTTTTCATGAGATTTACATTACTGAGGCTGATTCAACCGGTTTGCTTGGATTTTACAGTTAGAAATAAGGGAATGGAACTCTTGTACAAAATGTTAATGCCCTTGAATATGTCAAAGATGTGGGTAGTATCATTCATTTGAAAAGAAAGTGATGTGTATGTAAAGCTGTGGGAGAATTTTTCAATATACACTTGTTTTTATAAACCATAGGCTTTCAATGATGAATAAGGCTTTGTATGCCAACTTCACCTTTCTATAGCTTTGGCGCGATAGGCTGGTCTCATCATTGTAGAAAGCGATGTAGCAGCGGAAAGATCTTATGCACTTCCTACTGTTATACATCGGTGGGGAGCTGGAATTTGTTCCTATTGCAGTATTTTGTTCCTGTGGACATGATAGAAGTGATACAACCTGGAAGGGAGCAAGCCATATTAGGCTGCTTGACAGAGGAGTAAAATTGACATATTTTCTGCTGCTGCAATATGGATGCTATAGTAAAGATGTGGTGCATTGCTAGAGCAGAATGCAAGGAATATAAGGAAAATAAACAAATGTTCTGATGTGAACCTGACAGCTTGTCTAGGCCTTTGTTGCAGTTGCAAACTTCAGGAACAGGAAGACAACACACACACATCTAGTGACTCATGGTCATGAATAATTAGGATGTTGTTGAGAAAACTGAATTATAGGGAATTTTTCATTTAATACATGAGTGGGTACTTGATTTGTAAATTACTTATATCACACCATTGGGCCAGAAACGTTTTGGAGCATGGGATTCATTGAGAAGGCTTTTTGCACATTCAACAGCACCGGAACCTTTTGTTTTTACAGCCCCATTTTGTTGTGGTGTATGTGGACAATATTAAATGTTTCTGGTGTATAATGATTAAGTACATAAATAGTCTTGAAGCTCATTTTCCTCTTCAGTTTAATTGGAGAATTTTGATTTGCTTTTGATAGTGAATTTGACTCATTGTAGAAAAGTTGGAAGATTTTACTCATCAGATTTGAACCTCATGAAGTAATTCCATTGGAAACAAAAAAAGGTAATACGATATAAGGAATCACCTTTGGACATTAGTGGTGTGGCTCCTCAAACATCAGAGTGAATGGCGTTAAAAAGGATAGTGATAGAAACCCATGCTGTTACTTGATATAAAACGTAAAGAGCCTTGAACTCTCAATGGGAAAGAGGCAAATTAGTTAAAACCTCCCACTTCGAGGTTTGTTATATTTTATCTATTTGGATTCAAGTCATTGAACTTAGTTTTATAGTGGAAAAAATTTAAAGAGAGATTGCAAGCCTTTGGTTTAGAAATTTGTTTAACTCTCTGCATATATCCAATGAGGATGGTAAGTTATTAGGCTTAATATGGATCTTTTTGTTTTTCAATTTCATTATTAAGTTATTTAACGATGGTGGAGGCTTTTCAATGGCGATTTGTTGCTAAGCTTTCTACCGCATAAAGTTCAACCATGTTAGGATTTGAATCGCACAGTAGACAACTCCACTTTTAAAAACGTCATTTTTTTGGAGTTTAAAAAAAAGTAGCCCCCACCAGAATGGAACTCAAGACCTCATGTAAAGAGGTCTATTAACACGGGGAGCACTAACCAACACACCAATCTGCTGCTTGATGATAAAAAGTGGCACTCATGCTATATATAACTGTTTTTCTATTTTCATTATCTTTAAAAAAAAATGAGGACTCGGGTGTCGGACTTGCCCGAGTACTTTGGCTGAGTTGATTTTCTGAACACTGGAGCAAACTAATAATCATTGCATATGTTTTCCTAAATGTATTTCTTATGATGGCAGCTATTGAAATGGCTTTTCCTCCTTCCATCTCCCTGAAAGTCGTAGAAAAGTTCATTACATCAGTTTGCATGTTCATCTGATGAAGTCTTGGAAACCATATCCTATGGATATACATGTTACTGGGTTTTCTGCAGCCGTTGCGCACAGTACATCTAATTTGTCTTGAAAATTATATTTTGTGATTACAGTGACATAACTGATCCATTGGGTATTAACATCGATTTGTTTGCATTATTGGGTTGCAATAATATTAATGTTGGATACATTACTTATCCTCTATATTGCCTTATTGAAATGCATTTGAAGTACAGTTTTGATCATGTTTAGCAATTGACTGTTGGTCAGTCTTCCAGATAACTTTTTAATGCCTCCTTTTATCACAGTTTGGGCAGCTCGGTGTGGGGGACAATGCTGATCACTGTTCACCAAAACAAGTGATATTTCCTCCAGAGCAGGCATGAACTTATTCATGCATAAAACAGAGTTTGGTTGTTCTATTTTGAACTATGCCATTTCATTGTTTCTTTGTATTGCATGTATAATTACTGTCTTGACAGAATTAGAAGATGTAGGTCTATGTGGCTTTTCTGGAACATACAGAATTTGAAACTTGAATTGAACTGTGTGCAGAAAGTTATCCGAGTCTCCTGTGGTTGGAGGCACACACTTGCCATTACAGACAAGGGAAATGTATTTTCATGGGGAAGGGGTACAAGTGGACAGCTTGGACATGGCGATTCCATTGACCGGTAATTGCAACTGCACCATGAAATAGTGAGTTGTGTGATCCTTTTGTTTCTTACTATTCTTTGCTCATTGATCTTTGTGCAATTAGTCTCATATAATTCTTTGATCTTTCGTAAGTCCACAAAAACAGTTTGATTTCTCACCAAGCATTTGCAGGATGGGGGCTTGAAACTTTTCACCTATGTAAGGTGAAGATTATTGATCAACTGAAAAAAGAAACCTAAGGAAACTGAAAGTTTTTAGAAATAATCAGATTGATTTGTAATCAGACTGCAACTCCTCATGTAAGTCTAAATCAACACAGAAATCATCATTCTGTTGCTTGTCCTACCCATGTAGTAAAAGTGGTTTGAATTGGTAACTTCTAAGATTTCGATAGGAAGTTACTTTGTACGATGTGTTTGCAAAAATTTGGATGGTTGGAGTCTATTTATGTGTGTCTGAAATCACTATATGTGAGATTGTATTTTAATCATCCAAAACACTACGATGTAACCTTCTAGTCCTGAAACCCATGCTAAAGATTTCATACTTCTCCAGATAGAAATAATTGTTCTATCTGATCTACCTGGTTCCCAAAAGGTTAAGCTTTGAAGCCACTAATTTACAGCATGAAAATATAATCTTTTTGAGGGCTGCTTCATGCAAGGGACTGGGGACTTTCTCTTTTGTCTGTTTTTTTTTTTTCCTTATCCTTGTTTTCAATGTATCTCTATATATGATGTTAATAAATGTTTCAATGTCATGAGGAGCCTAAGCCTACTGACATGACAAATGGAGTGACCTCAATGGGGAGCAAAGAACCAAGATTAGTCTGCGATTTTGTTATTGAAATAATAACATGGCATATTTCTTTTTTAACGCTTTGGTTAATAGTAGGAAGTTGCATAAGTATATCTTACCTGATACTGGTCCTTGTCATTGGCAGAAAAACTGTCACTTGGTTGAAAATATATTTGTGGGCTTCGCCTAATGCGTTTCACCAGTCTGCCATCAAATTACCTTATCTAACCACATTCTGCACATATCCACAATCTCCCCATGGAATATGCTCAAGTAGAGCCATCTTATCCACAATCCAAGGCCACCATGGTGTCTTGGAATATAATAGCCTCTCCATCCAGGCGTGAGACATCAAACGTCCACACCTATCTTCAAGATATTGAATGAAGGGTCGTCTTTTATACATATATCATTTTTTTCATTGCAAATTAGTATCTGTTTCATGTCTGTACATTACAAAATTGGCTTTTTCATCAGGTGAAGACTCATATCTAATAGGACTAGATTAGAGATTTTCCAAGCCAGGCTAGCCTAACTTAAGAAAAACCCTTGTGATAATTGTTTCGTTGAAATTATTTCAGTCCTTGTAGTGATGATTCTGAAAGAGAAAGGAAAATGACATTTATGGATTAGCACCCAACGTGGAATTTTTTGTTTTCACTGTTGACGCCAATGGTTATTTCACTCAAAGAGATCTTCCTGTGCACAGGTTGGGCATCAAACACTGGACTTTTGATTGCCCATCTGCTGCCATTTTAAATACCCCAAAGTGTTGTTGTAATCTTCCTTTTGTTTTTTGGGTGTGTCAGTGGGGAGAGGGCCCCTACCCTCGGTAGGAATTGAGCCTTGGATGTAGTGTTGCAAATCGTCAAGCGCTAACCAATTAAGCCCGAGCTCTTTTCCTAATCTTCCTTTTACTATAGCATACAGACAGAGTGGTGAAGAGCTGCTTTCTTCAGAAGTTTGCTCATCTTCACTTCACAATAATATATGTCATTATTGAGCACAAAATGGTTAATTTAGTTCGAACATTAGTTCCTTAGGAATAAACCCATTTTTCTTGGTGCCAATGTATTATTTTGATGCGAGTGTTAGCCCAGAAAAACTTTGCATTTGATGTAATATATTAATTTTATCAAGATTGTACATTTGTGTAATTTTTCTTTTTATGAAAGGTCAATTTGATAAGAGGCTGTTGCATATGTACGTCATAAGCGGGCTTTGAATCCCCCGACTAATGATGTTTTTCCTCAAGCTTGACATTGTTTCTTTTAAAATATTCGCAATGTATCTATGGATTAGTCTTGCATTCCATGGCAGGTGGTTGGATCAAGTTTTTGTAGCAAGATGTTTCAATATTCCCGCACAATTTCCATATTAGAGGTTTTCTATATGGAAAAAGTTTATATAAGGTTGCAACCTTAAAATGTAGAATTAAAGATGCACCTCATAAATCCATCATAAAAGGTTGTTTGGATTTTGGAAATCCCTCTAATTGATCATCTCAACATCGAGATGTATGAATATGAAAAGAAAAAAAAGATTTCGTGTCTGCGAAATAGTGCGTCTTGCAACACATTATCTGGACCGTCCATTTTCAAGATTTTCATGTGTTTATAGTTCTACTTGATGTGAACCATTTTTAGAGTTTAAAATTTTATAACTAGAGATGAAAGTAAATTCTCATCTTCCTATAAGAATTTTTGACATCAAAGTTACATTTATGATAAAATTTGGAGGTGCGCCTTAGTTGGATTGTTTAAGGTTGCAACCTTATGCAAACCACACCTTTTCTATATTCCTGCACAATATTCATATTATAAGTTTTCTGTGTTTGGAAGCATTTGCAAAGCACCATAACTGTCCCCTGAAAATTGCTTAAAACATATTTATCAACCAGTTGTAAATTTTTGTATAATCTCAGCATGTGAAGTTGGACATGATCTAGCTACATGAGGTGATCTTAAATTCAAAATTCAAACTTCTAATCTAATGTTATCAGGTTATCCATCATCATATATAGCCTTCACTCCATGCTAAACTTGTATGTAGACATTGGAGGGCTTTATTGTTTGCTGCACATGCGCCTGATTGTTGTTTTTGTGCATGGAAAGATTTTTTTACTTTTTTTTTTTTTTTGAGTTTTCTGTGTATGATATGGCGAGTCTATTGCTAATCAACAAAGAAACAAAAAAAACATGATAGCTCCACCATATTAGCCAGGCATGATAGGGAAGCAGCATCTCCTGGGGCTTGTATTGTGATTTGCTAGTACTTACACACCCATCACTTCAAGTATGTCTGCAACTTCATGGTCATTGAAACCAGTTTTTCCTTGCAGCCTCTTCCACATTGGCTTTCTCAGTTCCATGCATCAGTTGGTTGTTGGTTTGGAAGGGTTTTAGGTGTTTCCTGTCGATGGTGTATTTTATAAAATTAGGATATACTTGAACTTCTCATGCGTCCCTCCATATATTGCACCTCCTTTTCAGGGAATGAGAATACAGGTCTGTTGTCCTCTTTTACTAAAACTCATTCATCTTTTTCACAGCTACCATCAAGTCTAGGTGTCATAGCTTAGTATCATGGAAATATCGAAGCAGTTATTTACATGGCTCAGAGCCACATGCATAAGCATTTAACATCCATGTGTCTGGCTTGGCTTGACACTCAGGCCTTCATAACAGACGGGCACATGTTTTTGAACTATTAGAGCAAACTTAGAGAGCCATGTGAGAACTCTTCTCTGAATATCTGAAGCACCTGCAAAAAAAAAAGCAAAACAAGAGAGGAGCTTGCAGGTGCTTCAGATATTCAGAATGGATTGAATGCATATTGAGTTATTTTTCAACTAGTGACTAAACTACTAAGGCTACCTGAGTCCAGATATTGTTGCCTTTACTCTTCCTCCTTATCACATGAACATCTGGATTCAAGGAAACTTCCTCTCCCCTTAGACTACAAAATCAATCAAGATTACGGCTTGTCATTAGAAAAATTTGAAGTTTTATTTCATGGATGGGCCCATAAAGAATGTTTCAAGCCCAATGATTTTGTGATTTTCTTCTTTTTTTTTTTTTTGTTCCCTGAGTTAGTGGGGGTTTGTACGGAACCCCATCCATTATATTAATGTCAAAATGACATGTACAGTAGGCCTAAGACCATGGTTGTGGGAACCTTGGGGGTAAGGCCACGGTCATACCTTAGGAACTCAATCCCATGATACCTCTATGGGATCTTAGAGGGAGCTGGGTTTAAAGAAATAGAGATCTCTCACCCATAAAGTGGATCTCAGTTTACATGCTTTTAGGATCTCTTCAAGGAGAGGAGCTATATTATTAATTGAACTATTGGTCTTCCCCTTGGTGTTATAGATTTATTTCTTTTAAATATGTTAAACTGTGGCGCATAGCACATCGTGGAATACTAGAACTACGGTATTAAAAAACTATAGTTTAATATCATTGCAAGCCAATTATGATATTATATCATTAAACTATGTTATTTACTAATTCGAGTACTATAGCTATGGCATTGGTAATAAGCTAAGGTGTACGATAATGGGTGCAACAGGCATTGGTTGGATCCTAATTTTATCGTATACTATTAATGTATCTCGTTTTATGTATAGTTGAGCTTAGATCCCTCCAAGTCAAAACCTCAATCCCGGTAACATGGGATCTCACTCCCAAATATGTTAGGATCTAGCTCTTTAACTTGTTGAATATATGGGCGCTGATCCTAACCCAGGGAGCTTCCACCCTATGGTGGTTCGGTGTTCCCCAAATTGATCCCACTCCCACTCCCGACCCGCTTCTGCCTCCAACAATTATGCATCATCATCATCATCATAGATAATAATCCAGTTACAAGAGGTTATCGATGCCTAACTCTATTTTCCAGTGTTGGAAACCCTACTTGAGGTAAGTACTTGGCCAATGCCCGATCCAAGTACTTGGCCCAAGTGTGAGTAACTCGACCCATGTAAGGCCGAGTACTATAATAGCAAATAAAAGGTTAAAAGAATACAAAAAATATCCAAAAAAAAGGGAAATGTAAAAAATCCAAAAAAAAGAAAGAAATGTATGTTTAAAGTAAGATCAAGGAAAATACTATCAACATGAGGTTAAAAAAGTAGTAAAAAAAATACATTTTAGAAAATCAACTTGTGACTGGAGGTGTTTTCGAAACAATCCAAAAAACATGGGAAAATGTAAAAAGAAGTATTCAAAACAATTTTCTAATCTTTGCCAAAATGATAGAAAACATAAAAAAAAGATATCACAAATAAATTCCTTATTTTTTTGAGATTTTTTATGATTTGTTTTAATATCCCCGAGTGGGACACTCAACTTGGGGAAACTAGGGCTGGGCAACATGGCTAGCCTGAGTACTCAGGACTTGGACCGAGTAGTCAAACACTGCTATTTTTAGACTATGAGTTGTATGGATTAAGCTCCATTTTACTGCTTATTTACATTTATTTATATTTCGATTTCCCTAGTCTTTCTTCATTTGCATTCTACCTGTACGGCAGCAAACAGCATATTTTTCCCTAACTTTCCATCGTCTTCTATGTCTTTGATTTCTTTTACTTTGGGACAATGTTTAGCCCTACTGTGTTGTTTCTGCGTTACCTGTCCCGCTGGTAACATATATATGAAGCATGTTCACTTCCTATTCTGGTGCTACATCAAACTGTGATTCCTCATCTACTGCTTTGGCCCCCTTTCAATGGATTTTAGATGATTGTAGCTCATTGTGCTTTCTCTTGCATGTCCTGTTCATTTGCCATGATATGTGTAATATGCTTTTCCCCACCCTGTTGAGACGCATTTTGGTAGCTTGGTTATGGGGTGCTACTATTCACTATGTGATCTTGTGCCACAGATAGCATCCTGTGTAGTTGGTGTATTTGTTCATGTCTTTTCATTGGCTCTTTGGATTTTATTCATGAATATGAGCTAGATATTTCCTGTTCTGGTTGCTTCTAGTCTAAATATTGCGGAATGAGTTGAGTTTGGGCTTGGACATGGAATTTCATTTCTTGCCAGAGATCTCTGCTCGTATAACCTCAAATTTGAACCGTCAAATGGGTCTGGTGACTGATCTGGAATTTGGTAGGGCAATGAGGGGGTTGGATCTGGATCCAAGATTTGATCCAACCAATGGGAAGCCAATGTCTTAGGATTTTTGTAGGTTTGGGCAGTTTCGGCTGGCGGAGAAGATTCCGGCCCTGGAAAGTCACCGAAATCTGCTTTCTAGATTTCTTGCAAAAATGCTTGTTTTGTTTCTTATTTTTGTCTTTTTGTGTTTTTATTTTTCGTGCGATAACTTCTTTGTTATTTCTTGATATTTTGGAAATCTTTTTCTTTCAAAATATCACTATATGTTGATGATTTTTTGCAGTGAAAACTCTCATGGCTCACTGAAGAATTTTTCTGCCATCATTTGGGCTTTCTTTCTTTAACTCATCTTTGCCTGCCGGACTAGAGTCCCCTCCAACTTTCCTGGCGGCTACTTGACACTATATTCCAATCAGAACCTCCAGAAATTGCGACCTTGTTCCAAGTTTTGACTTTCCGTCTGTTTTGGCAGCTGTTCTGCGTCTATTTCTTAAGTAGCCTCCTGCGGTTGGTCCTCTTGCAACTGTGACCCAGGCTCTTCATCTCGTGCATGAAATCATGAGCCTTATGAAGACATTGGAACAAGGTTTCTAACCGTTTGCTTGATTTGTTTCGTGCTCTTGTTTTTCTTGCGAACTGGTCTCCGTTGCTTCCTTCTGTTTAAATACTCTCCTTTTTCATTTCTGTTTTGACTTTTTGTCGATTACTGGAATAAGGTTGCTGCAAACCCTTTCTACTGTTTAGCGTTAATTGAGAGTGAAGCTTCTTCGTGAGCCATTGAAAACAAACTGTACAAAATTTGGGGTATTCTCTTGCATTAAATTATGTGGTTGATTAATTCACCATTATGAGAGTCAAAAAACATTTCATGGGGTAGAGACGAATCAAGTTGAATTTCAATACAAACTCTGGCATATTTGCCTTCGCATTGGTTGCCTATCCATGCATATTGGCTTCTCAGTCACAGCAGCAATATAAACCGGGATTTGGATGACCTCCTGTAGTGTGGCATATCTGGTAGGGGAGCCTATATAAAAGTGGATTTCGGTTTTGTAATTTGTAAGAGTTTGCCTCAATTCCAACCTTCCAAATGCATGTAATGGCCACCAATTAACCAGGTCCCCGACTTGCCACTTTAGCAAGATCATCCCAGTTTATGACGATAAAAGGATGTAAAGTTACCCATAGGAATTCATTGAACCATAAAACTCCACTGAGGACCTCTCTCCCAGAAGTGGTCCATCAAACAATTTTTGAATTAGTCCATGGTGCATCGAACCTCTTCTTTGTCAAGGGATATTATTATTTTGCTATCAATTATCTGTGGCGAAGGATAAAAATCCGCTGTGAAGATCATGGGCTTCAATCAGATTGTAAAATGTTGTAGAATTGTTTGGCAGCTGACCTATGAGAAGCCTGGGTGTTTTACTCCGTTGAGAGTTTATTTGAAGCAACCTATGAGTTGGCCTGGTTCAGAGTTTCGATCTTGGACGCATATTCAAATGTGTTGATTGTTGGAAATGGTGTTGAAGAAGAGGATTGAGATGATGGAGGGATTGGGCGGTGTTGGTTGCTGGTTAGGGGTTGGAGTTGGGGGTGCTGGGTGTCTTTGGCATGAGGCAATAGGAGGGAAGTCTCTTCCGTCTTCATCCCATCTCTTGGTTCCTCTGGCCTCTTCTCAAGCCTCTAGGATTTATCCATGCAGCTTCTTCTGTGCATGAGATTGTTATTGATTGGGAAGAAGGATGTGCCAAGCAGTCATGTTGTTCCAGTTTTTAATGCATTGATTCAAGAAGTATAAACCAGTACAAGGACAGATTGATGATGTTTCATATACGGTAATCCTCCTGACCATGTTGGAGATGTGGTCGTGAGGCTCGTTGTTGTTCCATCAATGGATTGGATGGCGGAGAAAGTAGAAAGCACATCCAAGTCTTTTGTAGCGTGTCTCTCATTGACTCCATCATTGTCCAACTTGTTTATTGGACACAGATGACACTTCTGACCACATGCTCTACATAATCATGAGGACTATATAGGTTTTACCTTTTGGAATTCACATGTTTTTTCCCATGCTATGTTGTCTTCATCTGCAATCTGCAATAAGCGATTAAATTCTCCATCAACAAACCCTGTCCCTTTGATAATTATCATCATCATCATCATCATAGCCTTTTCTCAATTAATTGGGGTCGGCTACACGATACCTAATCCTCCATTCTGCTCTATTAAAGGCTATATCCTCAATGAGGTCATAAGTCATATCTTTTTGGACCACTTCCAACCACATCCTTTTGGGCCTACCCTTTACCCTTTTCAATCCTTCCACTTGAACTAACTCGCACCTCCTAATGGGTACTGTACTTGGTCAGCGCCACACATGGCCAGCCTACCTAAGTCTACTCTCTTTCATCTCATCGCCTATTGGTGCCACACCTAAATTCTCCGGATTGGATTCATTTTGAATTCTATCCCCTTTTGTCTTGCCACTCATCCATCTCAATATCCTCATCTCCGTTACACTCATTCTATGGGTATATTGTTTTTTGTTTGCTCAACATTCTACCCCATAGAGTAAAGCTGGTCTCACAGTTGTCCTGTAGAACTTGCCCTCTAGCTTCATTGGTATGCGGTGATAACTACCATGAAGTATAAATACCTACATGGACAAACCCCGTCCCTTTGATAATGAGAAATATAAATATGTCCACTGGACTGATGTGATGATTACCATGAAGTAAGCATTATTGCCTACATCTACTATTAATAAATTTTAAATGGGCACTATTGATATATTTGTTATCATTTTGCAGAAATGTTCCCAAGGTTATTGAAGTTTTGAGCGTGGATGGATTGAGCTGCCAAAACATTGAATCTTCTAGTGCAGAACCATTTTCAGGTTTGCCTGTTTCCCTTGATTTTCTCCATTGTTTGACTATATGATATGATTGTTTGGAATGGTCATATTTTTTCTGTTGCTTATTTTGGTTGCTCTTGAATGTGCAGGCAAAGTGGCTGTTTTGCCTTCAGATCGATATGCTGTTGTCCCTGATGAAACTGTGAGTTTAAATTCTCTGTAGAACAAAATTTTGATTCTGAAAGCTTGTTGGTGGATGGAAATAGCATGCATTGTCCACCAAGTTAGTTTGAATATACTTACATATAGGGAACGAAACATCTTACCAAACATGGTTGGATCTTCAAAATTTTGTGGGAAAAGGCAAATTTTACAAAGGTATAAGATCAACTTGTGTAAACTGATACTAAAGGGCAATATGCTTTTGCAAATAGTTATAGATCTGGCACCTATCGCAGTAATGTCTCGTATCTTATTTTTCTTTGATACTTGTGTCCCCTGACTACCAGACCTGGATTTTTGGACAATCTTTGCACATTTTCTCAAATCAATAATTGAATATTGAAAGTTAGAAGTATATATGCAGGCCCAAGGCCAGCCACCTGCTACTGGCAGGAGCGGTGGAAATGATGCAAGTGTTCCAGATAATGATGTCAAGCGGGTACGGATTTAGGTATCACAACCTGGTTGCAAATCTCCTTCCCCAATTCAGCAGTTCTTTCCCAGATATTCTATATGCTTGTTTGTTTATTAGTGTCTCACGTTTGTACCCAGTTTACTTATTTGTAAATTAATGCATGTTTGAGTCGTTTTCTTTATCAAATGTTATTTGAGCTAATCTTTTATGTAATGACCACAAATGATTTGCTTCCTTTCTAACTTAAAATAAATGAATAAATAAAAGAAATGCTTCTTTTTTATTTTTTCTTTTCCTAGGCGATCAAAATATTTCATGTACATGTGGTTGGAGAATGTATGATATTTATGAGTCGGGAAAGCCCCCATGGCAAGGGATGGAACAATGACCAGCTTCCTAATGATTAAACTGTCTACTCGACGAATTGGTATAATGAATCGACCCATTCTCCACTGATGTGTAATTGTGCAACTTAATGGAACTGAACCATGAAAATCAAATGTTCAGCAGCCAATGTCTCCAGTAAGAATCCATGGTGCCTTATGGCATGTTGCCATTTGCTGGTATTACTGAACTTTGGACACCATCCTGATTTTCTTAGAGTATAGGTGCACCTTCTTCCCTGAGAGTTCATTTTGAGGCTGGTTAAGAAGCCAAGGTTTGCATTGAATATGACATCCATGTTTCATAGATCCAAGGCCAAGCTTGACTTGTTTTGCTGATGAATATTAGGATTTAGTTTCCGTACTCTATGGTGCAACAAGCTGGTCATGCCGGTTCCATGCCCGGTAAAAGGAGGGTTGTGTTAGGCAGGGTAACCAGCATAAAACTTTGGCAAATCTTGTCATGAGTATTGGACCCATGAACAGAATGGCGGAACATGAAGCATGTAGCCGACCCCAAATACTTGGGACAAGTCTTGATGACGACCTTGATGATGATGACTCTATGATGCAGCAATGGGGAAGGATTGATATTAATATAACTTGCCTTTATCTGCTGGTCACTATCAAAGTCATCAGTTTTATTTCAGAGATCAAAGAAAAATAACCTGTTTATATCTGTTTCCCACTTGATTGAAACATCTAGGAGCAAACTTGCCCAAAGCATGAATGGCAATGTTCAAATGTACTGTTTGAAGCAATTATGGTATTGCAAGAATGAACTTACCATTGGATAAACTTTGGATAGCCTACATTTTAGTTTGATTGTCATCTCCTAAGCCTTCTTTCTTTTTTAAGCTGTATTGTCTGGAAGTTATGCTTCCTCTTACATTTCATCATAAAAGTTACTGAGTCTATGGACCTGGTGAGAATGAAACTCTAGAAGTCATCTATAGCACCTGTTAACCTGACCATCTTTGCCTAGAGCCAGTGGACTTGGTTGCTGGTCATAAAGATCGTAAAGATTGCATGAGTCGTCTTAAGAAACTGATCATCCTAAATTTTTGGGAAGTGGTTAAATACAAAGTTAACAAGGGAGATTGGTTTTCTGGGTTCTTCCTTTGGGAAACTTTGATCGAAGTTCTATTGGTAACTGGGAATAGCAGGTGTGAGGGGGATGATAGTGGATCATAGAGGAGCTGTACTTTCTCAGGGCCATGCAGGGAGGTGACAACAAATAAGGTAGAGGTTAAAGCTCTTTTGCAAGGTTTGAGAGTACTCTCTATGATTACAAGACCAAAGATGGTAGAAGATAATTCTGCCAATACAGTTGCTTGGGGTAGAGGCCAAATGGGAGTTCCTTGGAGATTAATACCTTTACTGGATGAAATAAAGGGTAACCATTCGAGGGAGAATATTCAGTTATCCCATTGCTTCCGTGAAGCCAAGAATGCAGATACTTAAAGCAAAAGGGACGCCTAGCACAATTCTGACTGTCAACAGATTTATTAATAAATTTGGATCTTCTTTGTAAATCATAAATAAATTTGGATCTTTGAAAATCATAAATTTATATATATTCTGAATGCAATGAAAAGTCACACTTTGTTAGTCCCAAAAAAAAGGAAGAGGAAGGAGGGAAGACATTAGAATTTTTACTCTTTCAGTCAGATCCTTTGCAAGGGTGTAGTGAATCAAAAGGTAGCATTTAGGGCCAGTTTGGATGTCAAATAAAAATAAATTGTTATCAAATAAAAATACAATTTTTCAAATACCAATTGTAAAAAATATCAAGCATTTTTTTGTTTCTTATAAAGCCGTTTGGGTGTTAAAATCTATTTTTCTCTCTGCGATCCTCTCCCTCAACAAGACGGGGATAACTACGTAATTACCGTACTCTCTCACCTTGCTGTGCATTCTTCTTTTAATCTTGATGCAACCACAAATCTACGAGCAGAATGGAGCAAACCGTAACGGTGAATTAAAGATCACTTTGCTTCCCTTTTCTCTTCTCCCTTTTAGCAATAGATTCAAGTTTCTGTTATTGTTGTTCTTCATATCTCATCTTCGAGTTGATGTAGTGTGGAGAGCGAGTAGATTTGAGGTTTTTGAGGTAGAGAGAGTAGACTTGAGATTGTATAATTTTTTATTTTAATTAAAAAAATCTAGTAAAATCATGTGATTGTTCAAACGGTTCAAATCTATTTCACAATATTTTTGGATTGCAATTCAAAATTAAAAAATATTGCAATTTTGGGTACATCCAAACTAGCACTTAATTATCACTGAAATTTATCACTGAAATACAATCTTAGTGCTCGAGAGGTCCACCTTACCGCCTAGGGGTCCATTACCAGGTTATAAAATTGAATTGTAATAGATGCACTGGCAGCAAATACTATAAATTGCATCCATGCATCATAGAAATGAGTTCCACCTTGGGAAAATAAAAATGATTGAATATTTTTAACATGGTCCATGTCAAAAAACAATTTCTATATCAAAAAAAAAGAAAAAAAAAAAACATGGGATACTTGCTTTCATTTAAAACTAACTGCAATATTCTTCCCATTTAAATTTGAATACATGATCCCAAATGAGATATATCTTGTCACTGTTTGGGTTTGGAATAGGCATGTAATAAAGTAATTTTGAATATAAGCTGTCTAGAGGTGAGCCTGTGATCTTATGTGATTGGGTTTAGTGTCTCTTGTCAAACATATTTTGATGGATCAAGGGTCTTTAGAAACGTAGAAGGACGGCTCAGTGTTGTCAAAATGATTCAAGAAAGCTTTTAGAAAGTCCTTCCTTTAAAATTCACGTGGACAGCAACCTTTGGACATCAACCTTTTATTCCTTCTCGAAACAATTTTGGAAAATCTTGCATACTGACAATGTGTTTACTAATCACTTGAAAAATTTGCTTCAGTGCTAAAGAAATAGACCAATTACTTGTTTACAATGAGTTAATAAGAATAATAAGAACTAGGGACTCTTTGTATATGTACTAGTGGAATGAACGTGCTTAGTGCGTGTTGTGTTTATATGTATAAAGTATTGAAATGTTTTGGTAAAATTTTATGTTGGGCTGTCTTTTTAACACAACCCACTTCCTTTATACGGGTATGGGACAGGTTACTAGAAAGTTTAAGTCCTCAACCTTCTTAAGTATTAGATGGATGGTTTTTAGAAACTCATCTAAATTTAATTAAGTGAATTAAACATTGAAACGGAAATTATATACTTGACCTAACATTATAATAGAAAAGTTGAGATATAAAATTTCGTGGAGGCACTGACTATGGCCTTGAGAACTTGGTTATATAGATGTAAGCAATCTCGATGTTATAGATTTGTGTATCGAGAAACTAAAAGCAGAGAACCAAGAGAAATGGAAATGCCTTTTGTAAGAAAAGAAAACTCACTGTATCAATGGGATTTCAGATATTAATACTTTTTTTTTTTTGGATATATAATCTTGTACTTATATGATGCTAATTCTATGAAACTGATGTATTTAGATCTAGTTAAGAAACCTTCACGTTGAGAGATTATTTTCGATTGGCTGCCTATAGAGACATATATAAAAAGATTGGCTTTTACCTTAGGGGTCGTTTAGTTGATATGAACATAATGTTTGGAAAATTTTTAATATGAAAACTGAGGTTCCACATGTTTGGATCGTACTTTTAAACAAGTTAAAATTTATTCCATGTGAAAAATAATATTGACCACTTCGTGAATCCAATATGATAAAAATTTCAAGTTGAAAAGCTCTTCTCGACAAATATTTTTTGCCTATGGTACCAAATACACAGAGTGATCATATGGGACCAAAAAATATATAAATGAATAAAGGGCTAAACCCTTGTGTTGCGTGTTTATATATGTATGTGAAATGCAAGTGCTCCATAGTTCTTAGAGAGGAATTTCAACTAGATCACTGGACCATTGTGGACCATCATGCCTCTTCCATAAAGAGCAAAATGTTTTTATTCTGATTTGGCGTGAATCTTGAGATGAACAAAACGTATGGATGCATATTTTTAACCGATGTGATCCGGCAAACACATTTAATGAAAATAGAGGCTGAAATTGAGAAAGCTCAACCTTTAATACAATGGAGGGGACCGATTGGGAAGTTCGGTAAGCAAGTTAAATTTCTTTGTTTTTCCACACTACTGCTATTAAATAATTTTATGAACAATACTTTTTCTTTTTTTATCATTTTGGTTTTTAGTAGATTATCGATAATTTCATAGTCCTCCTATTAAATAATATTTATAAACAATAATTTTGTTATCACTTCCATTTTTTCTCTGTAGATTATCAATAACTAATCTGGAGTTTCGCCATAACTTTTTTATCATTTTCATTTTTTCTTAGTAGATTACCAATAACTAATATGTTGTGTTTCGCAATAATTCCTGTTGGGAGTTGTATTACATCTTTCCCATTTTCCACGAATATCGTCTTATCATGTCTATCTCTAAAAAAACCTCTCTTATTTATTATCTAAATTATTATTTAATCTTAAAAAATTAGAATAAAGATATCAAAATGGAGAATTAAAAAAAAATAAAATAAATAATTATCTGAAATAAATTAAAACTAAAGTAAAAATTCTAATTAAAAATTATTATTGACATTCTTCTTAATAAAAAAGGTAGAGAAAGAGTAACGATTGAACTAACGAAAAGTAAATATCTTGTCACTGTATCTAAATATCCCATGACAATATATTTTAGGCGCTAAATTTAATAATTGGAGATGAAAATATATTTTAAGGTTATGTCAACCCTTGGTTGATCACTGTGGTTTGGTTGTCTTTAACACCAACCTGGTGATTAGCTACTTGGTTTATTACCAAGCGCTTGCCTATGGGAGGTCTCCGTGACTG